ATTATCTGACATGCAATGGCGAAGAAGGTTGAATTGGCCTTCAAAATTATGGCAGTGCCAGAATTGGTTCGGTAAATTTCACTGTTACTGAAGATATCAAATCCTGGAACTTTCTTTTTTGGCAAAAAAGAAAAAAACTTTTTTAACGCGGAGTCATCAAAGGTAATCGAACAAACTATATTAATAAAGTTTTGTTTCTCACGGCAAACTCGCCTTTACCTTTGAAAACCACGATTACTATTTGATCAGCCTAATAATTGAAACTAATTCTAATAAGAAATTGACATTATCTATTAACCATACGTGAGCGGTTGAAGATAAAACACTGACCTAAACGTGTCTGGAACGGAAATATTGGACAGCATGCATAAAAATCTGCATAGGCATGCGCATGTTGTAAAGTATTATTTCATCATGGACACGCCAGTGCAGCGAATCAAATTGAACTCGTTTTATATATATATATATATATATATATATATATATACATATAATAGCGTTGCAATTTTGTCGGCAGCGTCAGCAGCCACTTTCAAACATTGAAATTGTTTTACGTAACTTTGCTTGCCTCGTAAGAAAAGATAATTGCGAAGAAACATACACACACACATACACACACAAACGATTAATTTGATGTCAAGACGTCGGGGAAAATTTTTCTAATTGAAACAAATCCATCAGCGTCACCATCGAATGTCGTTGCTTCAGTTGCGTGGGTTGCTTTCATTGTTTCATTGAGACGAACGGATGTTGGTCTACTGGATTTTTAATTAATTGTCCGAGTTAATTGAGACGACCTTCTTCGGATCGCGTAAAAAATATAACTCGTTTTGCATGCTCGCGTAAATGAAATTCACGTTCGGCGTAGAAACGTTACGAAACGACTCGTTCAATATTTATTTTCGTGGTCGAAGAAGTTCGTTCCTAATTGGGCGAGGAAGAAGTTTCGAACGTGCTCGTCATAACTTGGAATTTCGACAGTGAACGCTGCGTTTTTTTATCGTACATATCTTTTTGTTCGAAATAAACTTTTCAATTCCATTTTTGAATTTCTTTTCTGTGGCTGCTACGGTGATTGTAAAATATTCCTTTTGTTGTTATATTGTTTATGTTCTTTTATTTCTTCCGTTTGTCATTATAATAAATTTGTTATTACAGATAGAATATTTAGACGTGAATTTTCGCGAATTAAATATCTATTTCGTTGCGTTAATTTTGAAAGAACGTACACGTAATTGTTATCATTCTCGATATATAACATGTTAACGATATCTTGAAAATATTTTCGCCAATTTTTAAAATTTCCTTCGACGTTCCTGTCGACCTGCACGATCGTGACCCAGATCGCAAACTCGTCCCAAACTTGACCCTGATACATTTTCTTTTTTTCTCTTGCATTTTTAAATCGTCGTCATAGATCCGATTCAATTTCCTCCGCGTACCGAGTTGGCAACTTATCTCGTACGTTTCGTTAAATTTACGACTCTACTACGCGACTTTATTCCTTCACGGAGTGGAGTGGACGTGACCGAATAGAAAATACATTGCCACGCTCAAACTCAAGTTTGACTTGTTATTTCGTTCGCTCCTCTCTGCTCTCGCCGTCTCTCGGTCCGAGCAGCAAGCGAGCCCGAATTGCCATCAGATTTATCAGCTCCTTCGCAACGTTCTTTCGTTCTTTCGAAACGAAAAGGACGAAAGGCGACATTTTTAATTATCCTACGTAGGATATTCCGCGAGCAGGAATTTCTCGAAGGGTCGTATATAACGAAATCTCTTCTTGATGATCATTAGCCGAGGCTTGGTAATCGGATTTTCTTTGACCGCTGTGGTGCCGGCGCGATTACCGAGGGAAAGCTTCTTGCGGAATAGCGTCGCCCGCTTAAAGAATACATCTTTATTCTCAGGGGGATCAGCAACGTTATTATATCGTGAGTTTCTCCCCGTTCTCATGTTGCTGGAAGAGAGCCGGACAAGAGGACAAGAGGTCCGGAGAAAGTATCGCGAAAGTATCTCGATAGCCTCGGCTAATGAGGTATCAATCTTTATTAATTCTGAGCGGACGATCCTCGACGCTGCAACGAAGCTAAGACCCGTGGATGAACCGGTTGCCCAGACCGTTTTATTTCTCGTCGCGGCAGGGGCTTTGATAAAATGCGATCCCCCTCTCTGCGGATTATTTGCCGTGGAGATTGAAAAGTCTCCGTAGTGGAAATTTAAATTTGTACCGGAGTTAAACAGCCGGACTGAAGAGCGTGCGTTCGAAATCAGCTGGCGGAGCTCGATCCCGCGGTAACGAGATAGAGCCGGATGAAGTTCGGTTCCATTTAACGAGCCAGCGATGTTTCAGGCACGGAGACGATGGTCGCTTCCTACGTGACGTCGTGCAAAACTGTTTCAATTTTCGTAATCCGCGTATTTTTCGCGGTAAATTTCCACGGGAGTCGAAATGATATCGCGGCGATGCGAAGCGTTGGAATCTGCGAGGGGAACCTAACGATTTTGTACAGCGTGAATACTGTAAATACTATAATATACTATATAATATATAGTATACTATACTATACTATGTACAATATATGTTCTAATATACTATACTATATATACTATAACATGCTATACTGTATACTATATATACTATAATATAATATAGTATAATATACTATATAATAGATAGTGTAGTATTTTATACTATACTATATACTATAATATACTATATAATACATATTATAGTATTATCTATATAATATACAATATACAATATATATAATACTATAACACTATATACTAAATAAAACTAGACCTGAAGCTTTATCAAATTACAATATGTATATTATAGTATTAACTGTACATATAATACTACAATATTATGTACTAAATAAAACCAGGCCCGAAGTTTTTACACATTATAATACACATGTATATTGTAGTATCAATTATATAATATACAACATACTGTATATAATATTACATTGTGTGCTAAATAAAACTAGGTCGGAGGATTTTACACAATTATGAAGAGTTTAAACGTGGCGAAACTTGGAAAACAATTGACAAACGTGATTTTAATCCTGTATTGTCCGCGGTATCGGTGCGAAGGGTAATTGAAATTTAACATTGTCGAGAGGATATCGAGGATATCTTCGTTACCACGGAAATGAGAGCGTCTCGTCGAAGTACATGCATATCCGGTGACATTTCGAACTCGGCGCCCTTCACCCGACGATCCTCGATCGGAAATTTTTTTTACGTCAAATGCAACGTCCTATTAACTTTTCAATTGTTTAGGGACAATCGGGCATTGATATCGGAACGGTCATTTCCAAAGTGGTGGCGATCGTCGTGCAAACGCGTTTACCGGCGATAATTTTACAGGCACTCGTCGCGACACAAACGCCACGCCGAAAGATTTTAATTGCGCGACGTCACGCCGATGATTCGAGAGTTATTCATTTTAATGCGTACAATGCAATACCGGGACGTATTTTTTTTTGTTTTTTCCTCTTTCTCTCTCTCTCTCTCTCTCGATTATTCTGTAAGAGCTCTCGATTCCATCTGGGTCATGTCAGCCCCGCTGACTACATCCTGACAGGACAATACATCAGGATTGACAATAGTACGATTTCGCGTGACATCTGTTTGTCCTTTTCCATCTCTTTCCGCTCTTTGTTCTCTCTCTCTCTTTTTTTTCTTTTTTTTTCATTCCGCGTCGTTTGTTTCGCGGTAAATCGACCGTGTTGGAAAACTTTTCGAACACTGGGTGCATTGTGCTGATGGTTTCTGGCGAATGACAGAGAAACGCTGAGAAATTATCTTTTTCTTTCGATACTCTCCATCCTCGGTCTCTCTCTCTCTCTCTCTCTCTCTTTCTCTTTCTCTCTGTGTGCTCGTTCGCTTGGCGATCTTTCAGCAGTGTCTGAAATTTTGTTCCTCAGTTTTGCACGCTCCATATAAGAACAAGTTTCAATGAAGTTTTATGAGAATTCCGATATTTATTCCCTTTCTTCTCGCAGTGCTCAGCTCACTTTTAGTCCCGCGATAAAAAAAAAAAAAAAAGAAAAAAAAGAAAAACAAGGAAGAATCGAGTTTGCTTTGATGGAAGGGAAACTTGCAAACAACGGCCAGCTTTGTTATACGTTCCACGATAAACAATTCCGTTTCGCCAGGTGCGCTCGCGAATGTTTCACAAAGTCCTCCGCCGCGGCCGCGAAAAGTTGCCAGAACATTCGTCGCTGAATTCGCCAAGAGTTACCAACGCTTCAAAGAGACCTCCTTTTTTTTTTTTCCCCTCCCCGTGGTAACATGAACCGCGTCTTTCCCCGTTTAAAGAAACATTTTCGTTTTTTTGTGGCAAACATTTTCATCTCGACTAATAATTTTTAGAGAACGGAGAGCAGTTCGGGATCTGGAGATTCCGAAATTTAAAATCCTGTCGTTTTCGCGTACTTTTGAACCTCAAATTTAATCAAATTGATTTTATGGGATCGGTCAGAATATACTAAGACTTTATTTAATATACTGGGGATTGAATTACGAGGATACTGTAATGATATAAAATTTTTTATTTAAAAGTATATATATAGTTTGTTAATCTAAGTTAATCTAATCTATCAACTCCAAAGTCAATTCCTAAAAAATATGTATATCTCGTTTAAAATTGAACAGTGATTATATACAAAGTATTCCGGATCTTCAAATCTCTCCTCAGACTTTGTCAACGTATTTGGAAGATCATTTTCAATACAAAGTTACATACATCATGGATCGATTCGTCTTCGTTTTCGAGATATGAAAGAAAAAGTAGTATAGCCACAAGTAATCAGATACATTCAAACTGTTTAACTTTTAATTGACAATCAATTTATTTTGAGCTATTTTTTTACCGATGATTTATGTGGTTTACAGAAATTGGTCACTGCGTGCTTTGCTTATAATATTAGCAAGATTGTTACTAATGTAATTAATAGCAGTCTCTCTGATGTTTGTTATCAATTCATTACATGTTCTACTAGGTTCTTGCATTTAATAAATACATTTCATGAAACCTGCATCTAAACGCAAAAGAGTACATTTCAATGAATACAGGAATAACTTTTCAACTCGATAACTATGAGTAGTTCTTCCTGTATCTCGGAAACGGAATACACTTATGGTGTATTCAGAGACACTGAAGCATGGAAATTAGTTCATATAAACTAATTCCCCTATTTTCCTTTAGCAGCCGTCGTAAAGAAAACATTTTATATGCGAGTATTGTGACACTCTCAACGCAGTGGAGGGGATAGCGCTAGGCGGTCAGGAAAGTGGGGGCAAAGGGCCGCCAGTTAGCCACAGTCTGGTGTTTACAATATATTTGAAAAATCTATTGACAAAGCCTGACGGATGAAATTCGGATCGTTCGTCTATCAGGGACCTAGTTACTTAAAAATCAAGTTTCGAAGATTCATCCCTGACGATTTTATTTGAGAGAAGTTCGTGCAGCACGAGCGGAAATTATCTCGCACAGGTTCGTGATAAACAAGCTAGGCGCGTGGCTCACGTGCTGGAAAGCGCACGCGTACGTGCACGCGTGGACATGCTGCATATTTACAGGCGTGAGGAAGAAGAGGAGGCGAACGTGACGGGTTCGTAGCACTCGCCTCGTAATCAAATTTGCATTTCAAGTCGGGACCGTTCTTGGTGCGGAAGGCTCTCGCGTACGTGAGAACGAGTGAGACCGCCCGCCGCGAAACCTCACCCATCCCGGACAATTTATCTTTTCGGCGACGTTTGCCGGATTAACGTCTTCTTGTCCGGCGAATAATTATACCTCTCTTTTCACCGTTGTCTATTTCCTCGGGTATATTTGCACGGTAATCGCGAAATCCTTGCGCGAATATCCACCCGTGGAAATTAATAAATTATCCGCCGTTTTCTGCCGGCGTTATTTGCTCGAGTTGCTCGAGGTCGGGAAATTGAGGAACGCGATTACGTTGGCCCGCGTACGAACAGGATACTTTAGTTTAGTTCGCTTTGACTCTTTGGCGATTCGAATTTCTAGCTTATGCGTTTGTTTGTGCAAAGTGTATAGTTTGCGGTTACGATATCCATTTGTCGGGTTCTTTCGTTTCAAGCCGGATTAAAAAAAAGAAAGGATATCGTAGGATAACTGTCCGGTTTATTGTCCGCTCCAATGTTAAAGTGAATTGTACGAGAGGATGAAAAGGAGGAAGTATCTTTTTTTTAAATTATTAAACTTTGTTAATTATTTAAATTAAATTAAATTAAATTTATTTAAATTTAATTAAATTATTAAATTTCCTTTAAAAAATACTTCCTCTTTTCGTTTCCACAAACATTCTTTTGTATTATTTTAATATCACAGCCACGCAAACAACCGCGTTAATACTCGCAGTTAAATGAAATTAAATAACAATAAAAATTTTAAATAACAAAATATATTATTTATTTTGATGTCACAGCCGCGCAAATAACATTAATACCCGCAGTTATCCCGGTAATGAAAATAATAAAATTGCCTTTCAATGAATAATTCGTACTTACGTTCTAAGAATTACCAATTTATAATAAAAACAATAAAAGATGAGATATGACCATATGTCGCCATATGTCTTCCAATAAATAAATAATTCGTACATTCTACTAATTTCACACAAAGAGATAGTAAGCATCGTTCCAAATTGCCAATTTCCAATAAAAATAATAAAAGGTAAAAAACATACCGTTGCCATTGTTTTTCAATGAATAATAATTCGCGCTTGTATCCTAATAATTACACAGAGAAGGAGATGGTACGCGTCAAATTGCCAATTTGTGATAAAAAAAAAAAAAAAAAAAAGAAAAAAACGATAAAGGATCAAATATATACCGTGTCTTCCAATAAATCAATAATTCGCGCTTACATCCCAAGAATTTCTCACAGAGAAGATAGCAAGCGTTCGTTTCAAATTGCCAATTCACTTTGATGAAATTCGCGTGCACACCGTTGCACGGGAGCTGCAGATGGAGCGAATTGCATCGAGCTGATGAGCAGTGGCGCGAGTTATCCGTTTATTCGCTAAACACTGGCCCCAAACACTGTTGCAACGTCCTCCGGCTCGGCTCGGTGGTTCCAGTTGATTGCAAATATTCGCGAGTATATACATTCTTTTTTTTTTCTTTTTACGGAGTAAAGGAAAACCGCTTGGCGCGGCTGAACTTCAGTTTAGTAAAATAAACGCATTAATCGCGAAACGGCTTTGGAGATAACAGCGGCTGGTTTTTGGGAAGGGCGCCGGCGCTCTCTGCCTCGAAACCAGCTAAATGAACGGTGTTTTTCGCGCCGTGGCGTGGAAAGGGGGCCGCCATTATCGCGCATTGTCCGCGAATCGAAATTGGCCCCGGCCACTTGGAAAAGTTTGCAGAACCGTTTGCTCGCTCCACCCTCACCCGCTCTCTCCCCCTGCTGCGTGAAAATAATCGCGCGTCGAGGATTATTCGTTAGTGTCATTATCGGCGGACGATTACGAGACCGCGGGCAAGCCGTGAACAATGGGTTCTCGTTGATCAAACGGTTACGTATCATCGACCAGTCACGACTAATTAGCGGTGATTGCACCGCGCCGACCAAAACGCGCGAGCGCGACCGTCCCGATCGCCCTCGAATTATGAAGTCAGCTTCGTTAGATAATTGCTCCATTTCGTATTGACACGGTGAATTATCAAGTATGCAGCAAATGCCACGCCGAGCTTTGTCGGCGAACGATGCAATTTGGAAGGGTTTAGCGCGCGCATTATGTCTAATCGAGCGGGCAGCGGGCGAGGTATGAATTGCCGCGCGATTCTTGAAAACCTTTTGAAAACCTCGTCGAAAACAGTTTCAATTTCGTTTCCTATTTCCGCGCAACGTGAACGCGTGCGGTCGTTAAATCAGTGAGCCAACGGGGACAGGCTTTTGTATGGTTCACCTGCAATGCGTGATGATTATGTACTAACGATGGTAAAGATCTCGTTGAACACGCGTACTCTTAAGCCTGATTCATATTAATGGTGTCAAAGATGCGTAGCCAGATCAAGCCAAATACCGATTAATAACCGCTCGCACGAGATAATCTAACGAGACTATTTATAGCGGTTCAGAATTTGAAAATTCGTCGATCGTGGGATTGATTTGCCAGCGATCAGAATCAACAGAGTTCTGCAGGATTCGATTTGCTTGTTAATTGGGGATGACATTCTGGGGACGACGAATATTCGATGGAATTTACAAAGTTATGGTGAATTGTACGATCCCAATTAGAAAAAGTATCGCGACTTTTTTGATGATAGAAAATTGTGGGTCGAATTTTAAATGTAGATTGTTGGTAAAATCCTACATGGGTGATGAAAGTGGAATTTAAAGTGTCAGAGGCATTGTACCACACTTTGTCCAATGATAGTCGACATATGCACATAGCTTTCTTTCGTCACTTGTCAGATCACGTCTTGAACAGCGTTTAAAGTAAAGATGAAACAACATCCTTAACGACGAAAGAAGAAGAACAACGAAAACTTGCAAACTCGTCGAACGCTGTTGAACGGTTGAAACAAACCCGAAAAAGGATCGATGATTTGTCAGCAGTAATAAACTCGGCGCGAGTCGAATTTTAAATGTAGATTGTTTGTAAAATCCTACATGGGTGATGAAAGTGGAATTTAAAGTGTCAGAGGCATTGTACCACACTTTGTCTAATGACATTCGACATATGCACATAGCTTTCTTTCGTCATTTGTCAGATCAAGTCTTGAACAGTGTTTAAGGTAAGTTTTAGTGTAAAGACGAAAAAGGACAGAACAACATCCTTAATAACGAAAACTTGCAAACTCGTCGAACGCTGTTGAACGGTTGAAACAAACCTGAAAAAGGATCGATGATTTGTCAGCGGTAATAAACTCGGCGCGAGTCGAGTGAGAGCTCATTTTTCACGCCGTTGGAGAGAAGTGGAGGGAGAGAGGGTGAGATTTGCCGCAGCTGACGGAGGACATTGCGGTTACGCGATAATCTTCGCGGTGTTCGATTCGTGGCGTTCGCGAGGTAACGCGAGAACTTTCAAGGGAGGACGTCGGGCTGATAATAAAATATTAGATTTCCCGGCGAACGAGCGCAAAGAGCCCGGCTGGAATTAATTCTGTCGACGTCTGCTTCATTGTGATATTACGAGACCTGGTAACACCACCGAAGAGGGAGAAGTCTGTAAGCGTTCTTCGACCACGAACGAACGACGATATTCTTAATGGCGACTCCTTGGAGGCGAATGAGGAGGAGGAAGGGATAGAAAAGACGAGCACTCGCGAGCAGAAAGAGCGGAGAGACGTGATCACGTGACGTGAAATGAAAGGTTGCGGTTCAGGTTTGAACAACGACGCCAGCTCGCAGACAACCGAACGAATCCATCGACAAACGAACGCCCAGGTGTTCCTATTCCGGCGGGCATGAAATGAAAAGAAAGACGTTCCGAGATATCCCGTCGTTAGCTCGCCGCGAGGAGCGAGAAGAATCCTTTGTCCTCGAAGAATGCGCGCAAGCGGTTTCCCGCGAGCATAGGCGCCGCCCGAGAATCGAAGGAAAATGAAACTCGTAATTGAAGAAAATCTCTCGCTGTTTGCGAGAAAGAAGAAAAGCGACGTACTCGATATTTACTTTGTGATCCTTCGTTACTCGCCGGAGTAACCGGTTATATTCGAGGTTATCTTTAGGCCGATGCACATCGGCCAGAGAATGATCGAGAAAAATATTTCGCTCGAACCAGTGGTGCTTTTCAGTGCCGGCGTCGAAAAAAGAAGCTTTGAAATTTTCGGCCGTTTCACTGGCTCCCTTCAGAAGGCACTCGATACACACCCACTCCGTGTATCTTACATTCCCCCCAGGGTTTTCAACGCTCGAAACACACACACACACACACACACACACAGTAGTCTACATTTGTAAATAAGCGCGAGACTTTCGATTCGGAGTATTTTATCTTTCATACGGCTTTCCAGTTACTCTTCCATTCAGCGCGGGTATCACGAACGAGCTCGGTTCCTTTGAGGCTGTTAAGAACAGAGACACACGAATTGGCTTTGATACCAGCACGAGCTTCTTTTAGCCGTATTTCGGGTGGAATTCGCAGATATACGCGAATTCGCATCCAAGTTAAATTACATGTACTGTTCAGAGATGTTTAGATACTCTCGAGTTATTAATTTTGAAAATATTATAAAATGTTGGCACACATGTGCTTTTCAACGTTATTAATCTGGTGACGACGGCGAATGAAACTTTAAAAGGGAATTAAAAAAAAAAAAAGAAAAGAAATTATGAACAATTTGTTGGTACGCACCGATACTATTTTCCTCGGCAAACTTTTATTTTTATTTATTTATACGGAGCATCGCTTCAAATAAAATTAGCAAAAGTATCTTTCTAACATGTGATGTTTAAATTTAAAGCAATCATTAACGCGCAATCATTGCGGGTTTACTAGAACAAGTGTAGTATACGAGAGTTAATGACACAGTAGTTTCAACCTCATCCAGCATCTTTTAAATTTTCAAAGCAATGAAATGTCTAGTTTATGCGAATTATACCGAATTACGTGAATTATTGACTCATTTAGGACCGTCTTTAGATATTTCTTCTTTCTAAAATTCTTTTGTTCTTTCTACGTCATTATCATAGCTTTCACTCTAAGCATCCGTTCAGATATTACACATCGCATCGTACAACACCAAATGTATATATACGTTCGTTATAATTATCAGCAGATTACAGAAAGAGAAAGTCTGTTGACTGGATTTAAGTACAACGTCCCCCCAGAAGGATTAGTCAGTAAATTATTATAAATAAAAGACACAATATAGGTGAATATTTCTTATTTCAACATTCGCCGATATTTCAACTTCTCTTGTGCTACGAACGTGACGCTGAGTTTTCTCCCTGAGAGATCGGATTAGAACCTGAAGCTGATCGAGACGAAAGGAAAGTTGGAAACGAGAGCGCATTTTCGAAAAGTCGTTTCGGGACGAAGTTGCCGAACAATCGAACAGTTTCACAGAAGAACGGACTAACGTTTGCGAAACTCTTGTTTATTATATCGTGCGGGAAAGCGAAAGAGAGCCAGCCCTGGCTCTGGGTAGTTTCTGTTCCAAGAGACCGGGCCATTTAACGAAAGCCCTTTGAATTTCGCCGAGCGAAATGGAATTAACGCTGACTCGATGTATAATTCTTCGAAAGTTGATTTTCCTTTTACGCGTCCCCATACCGAGGGGGCGACCTTTTCCTCTTTTCCTCTGCGCGCGAGGCGAGAGCAGAGGCAGAAAGAGAAGACGGAGAGAATGGAAACGGCGTTTGCCTCCCTTACCTTGTCCCTGATTTCCTGCCGTATCTTCTCCCGTTCCTCTTCCATTTTGCGATGCTTCTCCTTTCTTCGTTCCTCAGCCTCCCTGATGGCTTCTTGCCTTTCTCTCTCGGCCTCCTCTTCTTTCTCCTTGTCATCTTCGTCTCCGCCTTCGCCACCAACGGCTCCTGCGAAACGAAAACAGAAAAGAAAATAATGCGACAGTCCCTCCTTTTTGCCGTTTTCTTTTTCTTTCTTACTTTTGCTCGTTTCACTCGCGAAGGTGTTTAAACCAGGCTATTCTCGTTTTTTAAAAAAACTTCTGCTCAAACAAAGCGTATAAGAAAACATTTTGTGGAATTTTTGTCGAAAGTAGTGTCACACATAGAAACAATTTTGAACAGTGGAATTCCCGTCGAACAGATATTTTAGAATTTGCATAATAAAAGTTATTTAGACATATAAGAATATTCAATTAAAAATACATTTTTGTATTTGAGTACCGTGATATTGACAAATAAATAATTCTGTCTCTTGGAAATTTTATTCTGTGACTTTTATCTCTAAGAATATTTATTTGTTTGTATCGGGACACTTGCAATGTAAGAACACTTTTCGAAAAACGATTCATATGTTTCAAACAAGTGTCCCTCAATCTTTTTTCGATCCTCGATTTAAACACGTATCGTGGAAAACATTTGCATGCAGATTGTGTGCATTGTATTAAAAATTATACACAGCTGTCGTGGAACCAATTTGAAAATGTACATGGAAATTACAAGAGATTTATCGCAAATACACGTTCAGTAAACAGACTTAGTATACAACTGTGGTCTCATTGAATATTGATGATAACTGACTGATTTCAAATATAAGGTAATTTTAGTAAATCAACAGAAAAGTAATTAAAAATCAGATATTGTTTCAAACGTGTTGTAAATTTATAGCAATACTTATTAGTTCTTGTGATAAGTGAAATCTTTTTATTCCTGTATGAAAAATTATATATATTTTTTTTTAACAAAAGTGGAATCGTCTCCTGTTGCATATTCTTCAATTCTTACCAGTGAATCTCTTGTTATTTCAAATCTATTCTAAATTTTACCAGCCATAATCAAAACAGCAGGATCTCATATTTATGAAACTTTAAAATTAAATAATTCATCGAATAGAAATTCATATACATATTTTCTGCAAATGTTCTGCAAGAATACTTTTGTGCATGTAGTAGCACAATACAGTGTCTTTTTTTTATTTTCCTCCGCGAATGTGTCTATTTTGTACGTTTATATTTTTTTTTTTTTTGGCAGGTGTAGAAATTAGAGTGTAGAATAACAGTGGCCGATCTTGGGGATTTCGATCGACAATCCCGATAGTAACAGATAATAGCGTAGTCACTTTGTATTGTTTCTTTTTTCTTGATTAGCTCACAGACGATGGTTGATATTTCCAGGATGATTATACCTAGCCGCGTGTTAAAAAGTAGTCGGTGCTTTGTTCGCGTTTAGTTCCCTTCCTTCCATTTCGATTATGCTCGGTGTACAAACCACCTGGGTAATAGACGACGAGAAACTAACGGTTTACCCTTGGGAGCAAACATTGTAAATCAGTCTGATAGCTGCAACGCTATATTCCCTTCGAGTTTATAAACCATTGCGGTAGCGCGTCAAGCTTCCAACGAAAATTAGTATTTCGAGAGTCTCGAATCGATCGCTGTGACGAATTCTTTGGAACTGAGTAGTCCGAAGAACAACTTTTGCAAACTCGAGGAATTCTCTTTGCTTTTTCTTTCCTTTTCTTGTTTTTTCTTTTTTTTTCTTTTTGTTTACCGAATTATTGAAAACGTAACAAAGAAATTTCTTTCCTTCTCTGTTTCCCAATCTTCGTCTTTACAATTAAAAAGAGGCCGCCCTCAAAATTTCCATTAATCGATCTTCCGATAGTCGATCGTTCCATTAATCGTTATTCCGACAACGGTTCTTTGCCGTGGCTTCTTTCCCACTCGGACATTAATATTAAAGAGGAACCGAAACTTTCGAATGAAAATGTAACAATTTCTTTCAGCATCCGTTCTTACTTTCCAATCCTTTGAACCGTCGCCCGAATTTTCCATTAATGGACGCTCCCCGATGATCGATTACCCCCCCGCGAAATCGTTGGTTACGGCGATCAATATTCTCCAATAAGGAGATCGAATTCATAGAGCTGTAAATTCTTCGAACTAACAGCAAGCAAAATATCAAATCGAAGATTCTTCTCCTCTTGGAAGTAATCGTTCTTGCTGGCAACTGACTGCGGACCGTAACGAGTGACCAAACCGTATACAACAGTTCGTCGCTTTCTTTTTGAACTCGGTCGGTACGACGTCGCTGAACAGAAATTATTGAGAAGTAATAAATTTATTATTTGTGTTGCCTATTTTGTTTTACTTAACAATGTTACAATTTTGGGAGAAAAAGTTCTCGACGTGCGTGGCACGTCATTCCAACGCAAGAGGTTAACTACTTGCGCTGGCAGCTGACTGCGGACCGTAACGAGTGACCAAACCGTATACAACAGTTCGTCGCTTTCTTTTTGAACTCGGTCGGTACGACGTCGCTGAACAGAAATTATTGAGAAGTAATAAATTTATTATTTGTGTTGCCTATTTTGTTTTACTTAACAATGTTACAATTTTGGGAGAAAAAGTTCTCGACGTGCGTAGCACGTCATTCCAACGCAAGAGGTTAACCACTTGCGCTGGCAGCTGACTGCGGACCGTAACGAGTGACCAAACCGTATACAACAGTTTGTCGCTTTCTTTTTGAACTCGGTCGGTACGACGTCGCTGAATAGAAATTACTGAGAAGTAATAAATTTATTATTTGTGTTGCCTATTTTGTTTTACTTAAATATACTTAAAATTGAGAAAATATTACAATTTTGGAACAAAAAAACTCTCGACGTTCTAGCGCAGGAGGTTAAATTCCAAAATTCTCGTCGAATTAACTCGATTTCGTTCTGGTCTCGGAGAGCGGCACGAGAGACCAACTCGATCCTCGCAGAGGAGGGTACTTACGATCGAATTCACCTTCGGCTTGACAACCGAAGTGGAGGAGGGGAAAAAAAAAAAAAAAAGAAAAAAAAAGAGGAACGAACGAATTGGAGCCCTTGAATGGAAATACCGGTGAGCTTCAACGGCCTTAACGAAGTTTTATTAGTTTACCGAAAGATTAAGCGGATTCGCGGGGAGAGTTCCTTGCCTATTGCTCTGTCAGAGGAAGGAAGGGAGGATCCCTCTCGAGAGGAGAGAAATCGTGTTTACAACGGAAGCACATCCCGACCGTTCGTTTTATTTCTTTCTTTTTTTCTCCTTTTCTTTCAAAGGGGAACGCGACACCCTCGTCCTCGGCGGTGACGTGCGTAAAAATATGAAAGCTGTTTGCGAATCTGTTAGTCGCCTGCTCTTAGCTCCTCCCTCGTTCGTCTCGATTTCCGGAGGAATTAATGGCCAAACAGGGGAGAGATTTGTCTGCCGCGCAATGCTCTTATTCTCGCGTGAATAAACACGGGCCGAGTGATTATGAATTGTGAAAAGATTCACTTGCCGCGATGTGATCGATGCTCAAAAAAAAAAAAAAAGTAAATTTCTTAATAAATCCATGTCTTTGTTCCACCGTGCAGCTGTATAGGTGTCGCTTGAACAAAGCAGAGTATTCTCGCGCGTTCGAGTCGAAACTTTGCAAATTACAAGTTGCTACAGATTGAACGGAACGGTAGCCAATATGGTGGCAACAAATTATATTTATCCTGCAAAATTGCGGAACTATAAGAGACAGGATTTTATGATCTTACTACTTGTAAGATGATCGTAACTTGTAACATGAACGGGCTTTCGATTCAATTCGACGAACTTTGTATTTGCCGGACGAAAGAGAAATTCATCATTGATATTTAAAAAGGCAGGAGCAAATCAAAAACTGACGAAGTCTAATTAATAAAAGGAAAAACTGAACGGCAACTATTGTTGGAGTGGTTGCTTCTACCTAATATCGATGTAACAATATAAATATTTTCGTATACATGACATTCACAAACCTCGCGCGAAATCACTCCACGTTTTTCGATAATCGAAATTGGCATTGCGTTTCGTGAAATTCAATCAGATTTGAAGAAAAATCCACCCTGCTGCCTCGTTATTATTCGTTCGTACGTCCGTCAATGCTTAACATCTAGCCCGTTGTAGACGAGACGTGACAGGCCTCCATCGAGAGTGAGATTTACATGACAGGATTTTCACGAACGACAGTCGAATCGATTTCATTCTCTTTTCTTCTTGGGACGTGATGATGGCGTAAAAAAAAAAAAAAGAAAATGTTGCAACGAAGATGTCAGATGTGCCTCGACGGCCGATGCATTTTTGCTTATACATTTTCTTGGCTTTTAGTCAGTCAAAAAGCCGAGAGTCGCCAAGAGCATTTGACATTGTCGTCGCAGTTTTATCCTTGTATCTTTTCTTTTTTTTTTTTTACCTAGTTTAT